GCTATTAATTAAATTTTTAATTTCTTTTATTTATTAAATGTTTATGCCACCCATCTCCCCTAGAAGGTGATATTGTTATTTTTGTAATGTGTAAAGTAATTCAAGTTGAACAAGTGATGCTTTTGATTTGTAATAATTAAAACAATTATCAATTTGAGACTCTAGATTTGATATAGCTACTTCAGGGAGGCATATTTTAAGTATAACCTAATAATATTTCAGTGTTCCTGTGCTGTCCAGCCAGTGTATGGGAATTGGATAGTTAGGTAGCAATTGTGAGCTGTTCCCTTAAGGGAATGCATCATGGTAAATGTAGTTAAGGTGTCCTGGGAAATGTAGTCCATGTCACATGACCACATCTGTAATTCTAATTGGTCAATAAATTGACCCTCGATGGATTGGGGGAGTTTTCCTCACTCTTGGCTGAACTCATGGACTCGTGGTAACTGTTCTACTTCTATCGTTACAAGATGGGGGAAAAAGGATAGGAGATAAACCTTCTTTTTACCTACAAGACAGATATGCAAAGGATTGGTCATTAAAGAAGAACTTTGTCACAAATGTGAGTTATGAGGATATCTGATGAACCAATAAAAGTACTTTGTTATGGATGTTTTGTGGAGTTTATCTATCTGCATCTGTACAGGATACAGAATAGTTTCATTCTGCCATAGAAAATCTCTGGTTTTCCCCATCTACATATCCTCTTGATATTGTAATGTTAATCCTTGTACTTATAACAAAGATCTATTGAGGTTTGTTTTGTACCAGTAACATTAAGCCACTTGCTCTGCAATGAGTTTCAACAGAATGACGCCTGAGTAAGTGATTTAAAGTCATCAGCATCAATGATATAAATATTAAAATATTTGAGAGCACAAGCTGAAAAATTGTAGGAGCAATCCTGAAGTTAGTCACAAGTCATCTCATACAGTGTGAGTAATAATAATTCCATCAATAACTAACTTGCCAGACTTTTCAATGGGGTCCTATGTCAGGATAGATGGGTTTGCTTGTTATTGCAAGTTCAGATATTTATCTACAAGACTATATTATTAAAATTCAAGATGACTTAATATGCTGCTTCTTGCAAAGTCACTCTGGTAATTAACGTAGCTAATAAATTGAATATATATATATATATATATATATATATATATATATATATATATATAAAATCTCTCATTTTAGCTTATAGGTACAAATTCCAGAAATACCATTAGGTATATTAGAATCTACATCAGGGGTGGGCAAACTACGGCCCGCGGGCCACATCCGGCCCGTTGGTCTGTCCAATGCGGCCCACCTCTGAAAAAAAATCGCTGCCATTGGTCTGTCCAATGCGGCCCGCCCCTGAAAAAAAATCGCTGGGCGTGGCGTAATTGCCCTGTGCCGCGTGGCCCCCAAAGCTGCAAAACAGTGCGGAGCGATCTAGGGGTAGGAAAGAAATTTGCAAAGGCCTCAGCTGGGAGTTCGAAATCACCTTCGAGTGTGACCTCTCCGAAGGTGAGTCCCCACCGATCCCCCTTTTTTTTCCGGGGCTTCCAGGCTTAAACTTTGCAAAGGCAAAGCTTGCAGGCTGGAGCGTCTTCCTGCCGAGGAGCGGGAAGGGTTCCACCCGGCGGGCAGGGCGGGCTGCTTGGAGCCACCTAAAGCTAGGCCGCTGCTGGTGGAGCTTTGCCCTGCCTTGGTGCCCCGTTTCCCGGCTCGGCGGTCCTGCTCGGGCGGCACTTTAAAAGCCTGCTCCCAGCACCCGAGCAACTTCCCAGCAACTTTCGGCTTCGTTTTAACTCGCGGGCGCTCGCGCCTGGCTCCGAGCCGCGCGGCAGAGGTGAAGCCCGGTGGGCGGGCAGGCTGCTTGGAGGCGACCCGGCGGTGCTCTGGCAGCAGCAAGAGGCAGTTTCGCCCGGGCTCCGCTCAGGTGTCCGGCTGGGGCTGTCAGGAGTTGCTACCGCCGGCGCAGCTCCGCGCAGCTCCAGTCCCGCGTTGCCTTGGGAAGGAAAAGGCAAAACCAGGAGCTGCTGAGCCTGAGCCTCCGGTACCGCTGCTCCCGTTGCAAAGCACTGCCGCGGCTCTTCCTTTTTGCCTTTCCCTTCCCGAGGCAACGCGGGAGTGGAGCCGTGCGGAGCCGCGCCGGCGGTAGCAACTCCTGACTCAGAGGGCCTCCAAGGGGAGGGGAGCCTCCGAGGGGAGGGGAAGGAGGAGAGGAGGGGGGGTGATTCCCAAAAAATCTTGTGCTGACCCGGCCCGTCTGTCAAATTTTAAAAGTCAATGCGGCCCCCGAGCCAAAAAGTTTGCCCACCCCTGATCTACATGATTAAATATCACCCTGAGCTTTTAGAACAATTCCAAAGAATTTAGGAAGGAGAAACATGAGGAAATTAGAGAAAAAAATAACTTCATAACCTTAGAAAAGAAGCAAATACAAGTATCTTTCTTCTAAAACAATAAGGTTAAAATTAACCTGCAGGCATATGTGGCCTCCTCACAATTAAATAACAAAGTTGTACTTGCATCTGATTTTAAAGTTTGTTTAAAAATCAGGTGCACGTACAACTTTGCTGTTTAACTGTGAGGACACCATTGATGTCTGCAAGTTAATTTAGAAGGATATGTGGCTGCTTTGGTTAAGAAGGGATGCTAGATAAACAGTGGTAGGATTCAAAAATGTTTACTACCGGTTCTGTCGGTGTGACTTGGTGGGCGTGGCAGGGGAAGGATACTGTAAAATCTCCAATCAGAGGTGGTATTTGCTGGTTCTCCAAACTACTCAAAATGTCTGCTACCAATTCTCAGAACCTGCTGAATACCACCTCAGTAGATAAAATAGAAAGAAATCTGAACAACAGTAGGGATAATTTGCCATCTAGCCAATGGTTGCCCAACCTTTTGGCTTGCTGGGCTGAGCAAAGAGCAATTGTCTTGATCTGCATATAAAATATATAATATAGTTAATATATATAAATAACAAACTTCCTTTATTTTTAATAGTTTTTATTATTATGTGGGACTGAATTACTAGCTCTCCATGGCCACGTGCAGCCTGCAGGCTGTGGGTTAAAATGCCTGATCTAGTCTAATATTACTTGTATACTACTGGCTTTCCAAGGTTTTTTAGCAAGCCATAGTACAATCTTCTGGAAGTTAAAACAGCAAAAATACCTTTGAACTTAACTCCTGATTACTATACAGTACATCCATACTGTTTTCTTGGAAATAGCACACAAGTCATTAGTCAATGTCCTAGTCTCAGATCCTTTTAAACGCTCCTGTCTAACCTACAACCCTAGTGGGCCCCTATCCAAGATTAACCATTCATGATTTCTACATAGTTTTCAGCGAGTAGTCAATACTGTAGTAGCATCTACTGAGACTTCTTCAATACTGAACTACAAATCCTTTCATCTTTTACCACTGACCATGCTATCTTGGATTGTATTGAAGAAATATTGCCAATCCTTGTATGAAATAAGTAATCCAATGTTTAATTCAAGCATTAAATATGGAATATTCATTCATGGCACGTACTCCAGATTTTGCTTTTCTGCTAGTTGCTGAATTACCATTTCGTTTTACTCATGCTCTGCCAGCCCAAATAGTTACCAGGGACCTAGATTCCTGAAACCCATCGAACTAAAAAATGAGAACTACATCTATCTGGGAATCGTGAACCCAAAGAACATTAGAGGACCATGTGTTTATTACAGGTAGTTCTTGACTTACAACTATTCATGACTGTTTGAAGTTACAATGGCACTGAAAAAAAATGACTTATGACCATTTTTACACTTATGACCGTGGCAGCATCCCCATGGCCTTATGATCAAAATTCAGATGCTTGGCAAGTGGCCTGTATTTATGACAGTTGCAGTGTCTACTTTGAGACAAGCAAAATCAGTAGGGAAGCCAGATTCACTTAACATGTGCTACTAACTTAATAACTGCAGTAATGTAATTCACTTTATTGTGGCAAGAAAGACTATAAAATGGAGCAAAAAAATTATATAACAACTGTCTTGCTTAGCAATGGAAATTTTGGTCTCAACTGTGGTTGTAAATAGAGGATGATCTATATGCTAACAGGCTGACCCTCGCCCAGAGCTCCAGCTAAACAGCTTCCTCATCTTGTTTCGAGTAGGAAAATGAATGAAACCCCCAATCTTTTGGACCTCGGATGGAAGTGATCCTAATATCACTGATCAACTTGAGTAACTATAGCCACCAACTGTAAATATTGGAAGGCTTCGTGAATGACATCACACTGAAGACGGAAATTTCTCCAGGCCCAAAACACAAGTCTACACTCAACAACTCTAGAGTGCCATAAACAAAAGTGACCTCTCTCAGTGTTTGAGAGGGAAACCTTGAAAAAATAAGCCCGAAATCCGTGCAGTCTCCAAATTGACCGAGGAGCCCAGGTGTTTCAAAGACGAAGGGGCTTCCGCCTGAACTCTCAGGCAGGCCCAGCAGCTTCGCCCCGGGAGTGTGGGATACCCTCCTTGGGTGTGCTGGGCTCAGTCCTTGGCGCTCCTGGGTCTGACTGAGGATTCTCGCCCCACTTCTACGGCCAGGGGAAGCCTATGTGGGACGCCCTGAGGGACTCCCTCAGGGCGTGACGAAATCGGGGTTTTGCTCATTGCAGCCTGGAGAGCGCTCTAAAGGCCGGAGGCGGCAGCAGCAGCAGCAGCAGTAGCAATAGCCGCGCTCGCCCAGTCAAAGCTGCTCTCTCGGCCTCTCGCTTTGTTGCCCTGGCCGGCTGAGCCTCGGGCAGGGGGCGGAAGGCAAGGCGGCTGCGTCTCTTCCTCCTCCTCCTCCTCCTCCTCTTGGCGCTGCCCCCCGCTCATGGCGACATTGGGCACATCCGGGCTTTTCTTCCTTCGGCGGCCGCCGCCGCCGCCGCCGCCGCCAACGTCGCTGCTGCTTCTGCTGTTCTGAGCCGCGGCCGGCCCGACTCCATTAGAGGGTCCCGTCCCTCCCCGCCCCTGACTGCCTGACTTCCCTCCCTCCTTCCTTCTCCCCGCCGCGTCCCTGGCGGGGAGGGCCCGAGAACGGCTGCGCCGCATTCTCGGAGGATCCACGGTGTCATGTCCAACCAGGGCCCCCGGAGGAACGGGCCCGTCAAGCTGCGCCTGACAGGTGAGGAGGGCTGCCGTGCGGGGCTGCCGGGCGCACACGTTGCTGGGCCCGCGGAGGGCGCCAGGCCTGGGTGTGTGCGTGTGTGTGGCTGGGAAGGACCAGGGGTCGGGAAGGGCGCCGCGGCTGAGGGAGCCCCTTGACCTGGGAGCGGGTTTGGGGTGGGGGGTGCGGTGCGGAAGAGAGGAAATGTGTGGGTCGTCCCGTGGGTGGCGTGGCGAGGAAAGCGTGGCCCGGCTTTGTTTCAGGGGGGAGGGAGTCCGAGAGAGAGAGGGTCGCAGGGAGGAAAGCGTTCTCGGGGGCGGCGGGGCAGTGGTCGGCTCTGGGCGGCGAGGGAGTGGGAGGTGAGGGCCCGGTGCAGGGAAGAGAAAGGGGAGCTTGGAGAGAAGAGACGGGAAGAGCTCCGAGCCCGGGTGGGAACAAGCTGCTTGGGTGCCTTTGAGATTGAACCTGGGGGGCTCCCGGATTCCACCGAAAGCTTTCAGGCCTTGGGAGAAAAGTAAACTCTTCTCCCACCCCCACCCAAAAAAAATCTGGGCAAAAAAAAAAAAAAGATGCGGCTGAGGGACTGGAAAGGGAAGGGCGACGGAAAGGTTGGTGTGCCGCGGAAAAAAAAAAAAAAGAAAAGTGAAATCCTAGAGACGAAATAGACGCCGCAAGGACTTGCAGGGCTGGTTATTCGGAAAGGTGAAAAACAATCCCAGTTTGAATCGCTGGCGTGAGCAGGACGGATTCCGCCTTTCCATGGTTTTAATTCTTCCTCTGATTCTACTATTTGCAGGGTTTAGGGGGATTAATTAAAGCCAGTAAACGGTTTACGCTGTCTGAAATTAAATATTGCAACGCTTCTAGGATTAAGTCCACTTGAAGGTTTAGTGTAAGTTCCAAAGTTTTTGAGTGTAAACTTGAATCAGTTTTCCGCCTCTTTGTACTCTTTGTTTTGATGTGCTCCGCTGCTCTCTTGAATCAACCACCATAGGGGAAGGTTGTGTAAGGTTACCTGGGTATATAGCTCCTTGGGATGTTGTATGGAATACAAGTGTAATTAGATTTTTCAGAACATTTACAGCTTACATCAATATCTATCTGAAGTAGATGAGTCCTGTAGCTTAAACAAACAAACCCTACCTTTTAATACTGCAGTTTACTTGTACTTTAAACAAAATACATCCTTTTGGTGGAACTTGGTCTCAATCAATTCTATGTAGGATTGTTACAGAAGTATATAAAAACATAAACAAGTTTTATATTTTGATGTTGTAGCAAGTTTTTAAATGCCAATATATTTTTTCATATATTGAAACATTAAAATGTTAGGTTTGTTTTCATTTACAGTATTGTATATGATTGCTGATATACATCTTACATGTTTATGTTCCAATAAATCTGCAACCCATGTTTTACTCAGAAAGTTAATTCCACTGTGTTCAGTAGAGTTTTTCAAATACATTCTTGAAATGTTTTGTAATTTTGTTTTTGATATTACTAAGCTATCATACGGTGGAACAAATCTATCTTTTAAACTTTAAAAGCCTGATGTGCAAAGGGGAAAATATTTTTGAACAATTTTTACCTCTGCATTTCTACTTTAGTTTCTAATTTTTCTGTTACATGCTAATATATATGACATTGTTCATTATAATATCCTAATTAAGAGATTAAAGGGAAATCAGATTTTCATTTATTTTAAGAACTCATTCAAATGGCAGACACAGTTAATTTAAGAGGTACACTTTTTAAACTCAATGTACTCACATAGATCCTAAGAACCTTGAGTAAATAATAGTATTTTATTTGGTTACCAAGCAATTTTGTAATATTCTTTGAAAACAATAAGAATTAGAATTGTCTATTCTTAGTAATCATATACCAACAAAATATTTGGCACTGGAGAGGATACACCATTTCACAAACTATCAAGTCTGTACATAATGTCTCTTTTTCCATAGTCTAGGGAATCTTCAGTAGTTAAGATGCTTTGGAACAATATTTAAAGAAAAAATGCTATAATCATAATATTTATTTAGAAGTAAGCAATACAGGACTTTGGGACTTCTGAATAAAATATATTAAGGCTTTGTAGAATGTCTCAATTCCATGCCTCCTGCAGTTCGATTTCTCATCCTGATAAAACAATTACTTCCAATAATTTTTGATGCTAAAATTATGCAGATTTTAAATATCTGAAACTACAAATTTAACTGAAACTGTTTGAATAGCTGTGTTCTATCAGTATGTTTAGATGCTAAAGAATCTGATTTCTTTGTACTCTTTAGATTCCATAAATTTTGGAACCTCTTGTCTAGATTAATTATATAGCAAACATGTAATACATATTTCAAATTTGCTATCTCTGAGTGTGATGGTACAGTCTGAAAAATAGTTTGGAAAAACTGGATTCAATTAGCTATTTTCAGGATGTAAACATTAAAGGTTCTAGCGAGAAACATTGTTGTGACTAACTTGATAAATTACAGGGTAATGTTTGATGTGAGTCCAAGAATTGATTTGGACCTAATGCCCAACTATCATTTTGAGCAGCCAAATAAAATATTTAGCCTAGGCCTGATTTAGAAGAAAAGGCTGATTCTTTGTGAAACTTTAAGAATGCTTGAGGAATGTTTCGCATACCTTTGCTGTAAGTGTTACATAGGTCTTTATTCTATAATCATTACAAAGACCTAATTTTATAAAAGATCTTTTCATAGTTTTTTTCCATATTAATTTTGAACAGTTGTAAATGGAATCATTTGTGATATTTTTTCTCAGTTATCAATAATATATGGATATATTATTTGTCAGACATCCTACTCAAATTGTTTCTGCTTACTCTACCAGAACCAACATGGTGGCCATGTTCTGAGTACCTTCTATTAAGCAGCGCCATCTTGTGGGACTTAGGAGTTAAGCCTTCTCTGTTGCAGCACCTGTCCTGTGGAACAGCATCCTCCCAGAGATCAGATGGCCCTGACTCTCTTGGCCTTTTCTAACTCAGTAAACACCTTATTGTTCTCTCAGCATTTCAGCCAACTTGTTTGTTGGTTGGTTTATTTATGGCTTTAAAAAAAACTCTGATTGTAAGACACAATGTTCTTTTCTGATCACTAACGTGTGATATATTGGTTGATTATAGTTGTAATTTGTTTTTAATTAATTGAGGTTTTTTAATTTTTTGTCACCTAGAGCCAAAGTTGTTAAATGGGTAGCCATATAAATTATTTAAACAAATATGGATACATATTAGGATAAAAATTATTTTCTCCTTCAACTTTTCTATTAATGACAGTAGTATTAACATAGGTCAGGGATTACTAATGTCATTTGCTTCATATAAATTAAAGTTGGAAAAGAATTTGATTGTTTGAAGCGTTGATTTTGGATTTCCTTCATTTTTTAATAAGGGAAAAGGCCCAGATGCTTTTTTAAAAATATAGGTTTGTTCTGCTTTCTGTACTGAGCCACAGTTGAGAAATCATTTTTTAGGGATTACAGGTGATAGTTTTCTAGCACTATTAATCAAAATGCATTATGCACTATTCAGATTCTCACTTCTTAACAGATTTTCACTGAAAAGAAAAAAGGTAAAAGCAACAGTTTTAAATAAAAATAGCTGTGGAAAGTATCTATATCTGAATCATAAATGTAATGAATGAGGCAAATAACTGCTTGATAAAAGCTTTATCTGCATTTAAAAAACATCTAGCAGTATAATAGACGGCTAAATTTAAAAAAAAATCCAGGAAGAAAGTGGCAAACTACTTTTGCATAATTGCCAAGAAATCAACATATAGGATTTGAGATTGTTTCAATGGAGACTTTATTTTTAATGAATTTCAGATTGTTCTTCATGTATCAGTCATGAACATTCCACAGAATGACACACCAAATAAACTTTAAGGAAGATGCTTTACACACTATTTGCATAATACTTTGAATGAAAGATTGTTCTATCAACCTAATGCTGTAGTTTAAATGCTTTTTAAGAGTATGTATATTGCTATTGAATTTATGGATTCACAAAGATGCTGAATCCTAATTATAATAAGGAAGTACCTATAATACCATAAAACTTAATAAATACAATACACAAGAGTAGCATAACAACTATTTTGTATTCATTAAGTCATTAAGGAAATGATGAAGTATGGGAATTATATTAGTCTGTCTTGTTTAAGGACATGTTTTTTGAGAAAAAAATCAAACAAGTTGGTGGCCACTTTATAAACACTTGTGAGCAGTTCTGGTTTTTATTTTGTATTGATACACCTGAACTAACATGAACCAAATGACTCAGAAAGAATTTCTAGAATTATCTGGAAAATGAGTTGGATATACACAAAAACAAAGCAAAACAAGGCACTCAAAATTTAAAAATACATCACTGTCTCTTGGAAACTACTCTCAAATTCTTCTTGGTTATACTTCTTGAAAACAACTTGTGTTTTCAGTCTGTGACTTTAAATGATATTATTTTAAGGAATAGAAGATTCTTAAATATGATCTGGCGCAAGAGTTGAAAAAATTGCAAAAGATAGTGATCAAGGAGCTAGAACTAACCCTTATGAGGAAAACAGAATGAGTTTGATTGGGAATGATAGACATGTATTAAATAATATAAGACAGGGAGAAAATGGTAAGAAAAATTACACTAGGACTGGAGATGAAGAGAAATTCAGTATAGATAGAAAGTACTTCAGATAAACCATCTGTCTGTCTCTGTGCTGTCATTGTACAATAAGTAACAACAATTCTGGAACAGCAATAGCACCGCTTTATAGTGTTCTACATCCCTCTCAAAGCAGTTTACAGAGTCAGCTGGTTGCCCCCAACAATTTGGGTCCTTATTTTGCCCACCTCGGAAAGTTGGAAGGCTGAGTCAACCTTGAGCCTGCTGGGATTCGATCTGCCAAATTGCAGTAGGAGTAGCTTGCAGTACTGCACTCTAACCACTGAGCCACTGAGGCTGTTGCTTTATTTCTTTATATTTTTTTTAGAACACTCTA